CAATGACGAAGGGTTTCGTATTCTTCTTATAACTTTGGAAAACCCTGGTAAGCTGTTTGATTGCCTCCGCAACTCCATCTCGTTTTTGGAATCCTTTTTGGCAGTCCAGAATCGTAGTGGCCGACTCCAACTTTTCTGCTAAGATCTTATTCAACAGGCGGATCCATCGACTGGAGATTGTTCTTGGCCTGAAGTCGCCATGCTCCTCTGCTCCAACCACTTTCTCTATCATAGTAGTGCGTCCTAGCTTCCATTCAGTGGGGACAATTAATCCTCTGATTATATCATTCAGCACAATGGTAATCTCCTTAGTCCCGACTTTAAGGTCATTGAGATCAATTTGGTCCAATCCAGCAGCTCTCTTCCCATCGAAGCTTGCTAGGTGCTTTCTGACCTCTGCTTCACTGATAGTTCTCTCGATCTTATTGCACTGTGGAAGATGAACTTCTAGAGGAGAGTTGTCCGCTGAGTGGGTTTCCAATATCTTACGCCAGTATTCCGCTCTTCCTTTGATCTTGTTTCCACTGAAGGATCCACTGATTGTCACTCTCTATAACTTCGAGAAGTTTCTTCTTATCCTCGTACAGTTCATGAGCGCTGGCATATAGGGTTCTCCTTAGCTTCTTCTTGCTACTTGGTATTATCTTCGCTTGTCGTCCTGTGGCAGCCTTTTGAGGTTTGTTCGGCAAGAGGGTCTTTATATACTGGTGCGCCTTGTCACTTAGATCGTTAAGAGTGGCATCCTTGAGAATGGGATATATCTCTGCATTCTGTAGGAGATCCACAAGTTTCTCGACATTAGATTCTTCGTCAGACTCTTGGGTTTCGACTTCTTCTGGTCTTTGGGCTTCTTCCAGAAGGTGCTTCACTCTTCTGATATTTAGGTTTCTTCCTCTGGCCTCTGATTCCTAGTGTTCTACTGGTGAAGGCTCGTTGCAGTCCTTGGAGCACTGATTTTTCACCTCTTAGGACTAGCTTGGATTCCTCTTGGGCCAAAAATTTCTTCTTCTTCGTCTGTCAATCTCGCCTTGACTCCTATTCTGTTCCGAGAATATTTCATCTTCACGCTTGTTCATCCTGTGGACGCCTAGCCCTGCAGCTGTCTTACACTCACGCCACACGAACAGTCAAAGGTCTTATGAACAGATGAGTCGGCAAGGGGCTGTTTCTTCTGGCACGTTCTCGAGTGAAGTGTTAAGCTTGCTTTGTTCTTACAGATCTTCTCACAAAGTTGACACATGAGCGAGAAACTACTCTGGAGGGTCTGAGTTGCTAGTTTAGCCGCAGTTGCAGCACCAACTGTATTATCTCTTTCTTAATTCATGAGCATATTGGGTTTTCAACACCATGGGGTCACGGGTGATGTCGCGGGCTGGTCATTTTTGCCTATCCCCCAGATCCCAAGGTTAAGGCTAGAAATACGAAGGGTTGTCTTCTTCCTGGTCGGATGTATATCTACGTCGATCGGAGAGGAGGAGTCTTCACTTGGCTTTTTCGTATTGCCCATTGCCCACATGGGGGCAGTCGGGGCGCGATGCTCTACTCCCCGCCTAAGTGGTTCCGAGAATACCCCGTGGCTGGGGTCACATCGCTACTGGAAACAAAGTGTGCCAGCTCGTACTTCTTGACTCTTTCGAGTAAGCTGGGTTTGATTGAAAGCTCCAGCTTATAACATACAGGATCACAAAGTGCACCGCTTTTCACGACACGGCCAGGGTAAGCTTTCCCCCCGTGTTTCAGCGGCTAGAGCCACATTTTAGCCGGTGCGAGGCCGTTTCCGGTTTGTCCTGGTGTTTTCATCTTGCTTCATGGAGTGTTGATGTAGATCTTTCGAATTGTCGCTTTTTCCTATACGCTGCCGTGATGCCTTCCTCGTTACTGTCTGATGCTACTGTAACATCAATGATTGCTGCCTTTTCCTTAAGAACTACCACGGGGTTTGGCTTAAGACCTTCTTGCTTGGAGGTTCCACATCGAAAGGATGCTTCACATATGGTTTTAGGCCTTTTCCGGTCAAGATTCTCCTTAGATAACTCGTAGTGTTTCTTGGTTAGGGCACTCCAGGTCTGAGGACATTTCTGTACAATGTGGTTCGTGCTCTCCTGGCTCATGCAACCCGCATCGCAGACAGTGCTACCGACTTTGGTGTATCTTCGTCGGCGGTGCTTAGTCTTTATTGAATTAGATTGTACTTTGAGGGCCTTAATGTAGTCTGCACCGGGCATCAGCTTAGTCCCGTTTGTGATCCATCTGGCTGTATTTGCACTGTTAGTCTGGATGCTGAGATGTTGTCCATCTACAGTATTTAGTATCTTAGATCTCCAGTATTCGTCTTCATCTCTTTTGGCTACGATTTCAATGTTCTGTACTGCATGGGTCCCACACTAAGCACTCCTCTTTCACTTTAGTCGTGGTATCATTGTTACCATGCTCTTCACGCCGAAACCTCCATTTCTTACGTTAGCATGGATTATGGCTGTCGCAAGATCCTTCGGGAGCCTGGTCCATTGCTTAACAAGTAGCGGATAAGCATGTACATCTTATGCAGGTCCTTCATGCACAAGTTAGCAAAGGTGCCCTGTTGGTAAGTCTTCGGTTGGACAAAATGAGTTTAATAGATGAATTCTTTGCTGTGGCTTTAGTGGCGCACTACTTATCTTTTTCATGAGGTTCTTCATTTTTCCGAAAGTATTCCAAGTCTTCACACCATGTCTGTTGAAATCCACGCCTTGGTAGCGCACTGTTTCATTAAACTCCAGCTGTTTTATGGTTCTTGCTTTTGACACAAGCTGATCTTTTATTCTGCAGATGATCTCCTTCTCCTTGGGTACGCTCGACTAACTAATGAGCTTGGACTTCTTAGCATTTATCGAGAGTCCTGACTTCTCTGCCGCGTCCTCGTCTCTTTGGATAACCATCTGTCTTCTGCCGCTAGTAAAAGATTGTCTGCATTTGCTATAGTGTTCAATGATCTGCCGTCTTCTTAGTGTCCAGTGTTAGAAGGAACCATACGCAGAACTTCATCTTGTGCAAGGTTGAAGAGATGTGGACTTGAAGGATCCCTTTGTCGTATCCTTCTTTTTGGGTGTCTTAGTTCTCCGTCTAAAATTGTACAGCTTTCATTGTAGAGGTCCTTGATGTAGTCTATAAGCCATGTTGGTACTGATCTTCGTACTAATGTGCTCACTTTTGCATTGTGGCTTACAGAGTCGAATGCTTTTTTGAAGTTTACTAGAGCAATGACGAAGGGTTTCGTATTCTTCTTATAACTTTGGAAAACCCTGGTAAGCTGTTTGATTGCCTCAGCAACTCCATCTCGTTTTTGGAATCCTTTTGGCAGTCCAGAATCGTATTGGCCGACTCCAACTTTTCTGCCAAATTCTGATTCAGCAGGCGGATCCATAGACTGCAGATTGTTCTTGGCCTGAAGTCGCCATGCTCCTCTGCTCCAACCACTTTCTCTATCATAGTAGTGCGTCCTTGCTTTCATTCAGTGGGGACAATTGATCCTCTGATTATACCATTTAGCACAATGGTTTTCTCCTTAATTCCGACTTTCTTAAGGCCATTGAGATCAATTTGGTCCAATCCATCAGCTGTCTTCCCATCGAAGCTTGCTAGGTGCTTTCTGACCTCTGCTTCACTGATGGTTCTCTCTATCTTATTGCACTGTGGAAGATCAACTTCTAGAAGAGAGTTGCCCGCTGAGTGGGTTTCTTACGCCAGTATTCTGCTCTTCCTTCTTTGAACTCGTTTCCACTGAAGGTGAGCTTCTTTAGATTGTCATCCTGTAAAACTTCGAGAAGTTTCTTCTTGTACAGGTCTTGAGCGCTGACATATAGGATTCTCCTTAGTTTTTTCTTGCTACTTGGTATTTTCCTCGCTTGTCTTCCTGTGGCAGCCTTTTGAGGTTTGTTTGGCAAGAGGGTCTTTACATTCTGGTTCGCCTTGTCATTTAGATCGTTAAGAGTGGCATCCTTGAGAATGGGATGTAACATTGCATTCTGTAAGAGATCCACAAGTTCCTCGACATTACATTCTTCGTCGGACTCTTGGGTCTCGGCTTCTTCTGGTCTTTGGGCATCTTCCAGGTGCTTCACTCTATTCTGATATTTAGGTTTCTTCCTCTGGCCTCTGATTCCTAGTGTTCTACTGGTGAAGGCTCGTTGCAGTCCTTGGATCGGTAATTTTTTCACCGCTTAGGACTAGCTTGGATTCATCTTGGGCCAAAAGTTTACTTCGTCGTCTGTCCATCTCGCCTTGACTCCTATCTTCTGTTCCGAGAAGAACTCATCTTCATGCTTGTTCCTCGTGTGGACGCCTAGCCCTGCAGCTGTCTTACACTTCACGCCACACGAACAATCAAAGGTCGTCTTAACATATGAGTTCGCAAGGGACTTTTTCTTCTGGCACGTTCTCGAGTGAAGTGTTATGCCTGCTTTGTTCTTACATATCTTCGCAAAGTTTACAAAGTTGACACATGAGCGAGACACTACTCTTGAGGGCCTGGGTTGCTAGTTTAGCCGCAGTTGCAGCACCAACTGTATTATCTCTTATTTCTTGATTCATGAGCATATTGGGTTTTTCAACAACATGGGGTCACGGGTGTTGTCGCGGGCTGGTCATCTTCGCCTATACCCCCAGATCCCAAAGTTAAGGCTAGAAACACGAAGGGTCGTCTTCTTCCTTAAGGCTGCATCTTTTTAGCTGACCCCAAAGCACTGAGGCCCTAACCCCAATAGACCGATGGAGCCCGCAACGTTCCTTTGACTCGGCGACAGCATGCAGGACGTCCCAAATATTGGGCTAACACCATAAACAAGTCGACTATCATTATCATCATAATACTTTTTGTATACCGTACGCAAGTTTTGTGCATGTATTTCAGTTTACAATCTTTTCTGATGAATCGCTCTAGACTAAATTGAAGTTCTGTTCGACTGAATTTTTGTTTGACTGTCGCCATTGACGTTATGTTTTGACTGGTGTTTTATTTTGAGATAGAGATGGAAACTGTGAAAGTGGTGCCTCCTCAGCAGCAGCAGCCGACGAAGAACAACCTATCTGTTCCGTGGGTGGAGAAACACAGACCACGTGAGTTGAAAGATATTGTGGGAAATGAAGACACGATTGAGATGCTGCAGCACTTCGCACTCAAGGGAAACATGCCCAATGTATTACTGTGCGGAACACCAGGTGAGATATTTTTGCCATTTTATCCCCCAATGGATCCGCCATATAATACAAAAACCTTATTTTTTCGTTAAGTTTTTATTTTTAGGGTTAAATGTGTAAAATCTTTTTAAGGCGAGCCATTTTGATTATTAGAGTGACAATTTTTCTGCCAGTTTTTTTTCTGGGTATTTTCCCTTGTTTCTTACCTTTGATTATCTTTGAGTATTGGTTGAGAAATTGACATTGTAATGCACTTGAGTTATTAGGAATTGGAAAAACGACTGCCATTCTCTGCTATGCGCGAACTCTTCTGGGTGGCCTGTACAAAGAGGCCGTGCTAGAGCTGAATGCCTCAAATGACAGAGGCATCGACGTCGTCAGAAACAAAATCAAAAATTTTGCTCAGAAGAAAGTGACTTTGAGAGAAAATCAACACAAGTTGATCATTTTGGACGAGGCAGATTCAATGACCGATGGGGCACAACAGGCATTAAGACGGACCATGGAGTTGTATTCAAACACGACTCGTTTTGCCCTGGCTTGTTAGTAGCAGATTTTTTCTTTCGTCTAATATAGAAACTGAACAACAAATATACCTGAACAAAATGCTGTTTTTGCCTTAAACCTACACGGTTTTTTGTGTTGAAGTTGTTCGCCTTTGAAATGAAAATTTTGCTGGCTGTAAAATTTTTAGCTGTCCTAAATATAATTTGGGCGGCGAAATTTTAAGCGTACCAAAGTCTAGTCCATTACTTCTCTATTTGAAAACACTCCTTGAAGTATAAAATTAATTGTTTAATCTTAGCTGTTAAGCCTGGAAATCAAACCAGCTTAGAATGATTGTTTGCAAATTTGCCGAAAATTGTAAGTGGGTAGCTAACCGATAAAAGGCTTTTGCGTCACCATTTCTTGTCATTCAAAAAAGTACGCGACGGTTGGGGTGACACAGTGGTTGTGTAATCGGAAGTAGGATCAAACTTCTGAGACCATTGGATCATGGGTTCGATTCTGCGACTTCGCGTTGCCTTGTGAGGTTGAGCTCTTTCTCTCTCTCTCTCTCTCTCTCTCTTTCGATCTATCTATCTATCTCTCTCTTTTTTATGTTCAGTTCCAGCCAACTTTTTTCTTAGGGTCCATGACCTATAGGGCTAATAGCGATAAGAATAAAGTGACTGTGTTTGAGTGTAGGTAATACTTCGGACAAGATTATTGAGCCGATACAGTCGCGTTGCGCCATTCTGCGCTTCTCTAGTCTGTCCGATGCACAAATACTGGCTAGAGTGATGCAGATCTGTGAGTTTGAGAAGGTGAAGAGCACGGATGATGGACTGGAAGCTATTGTGTTCACAGCACAAGGAGACATGCGACAGGTTAGTTCACGCTTCACCTTTCGCATTGAACACTGAAACAATTTCGAATTTTTCTTCTGGACCACCGGTTAATTATTTGAGCTTTGCTCGAGCAGATGTGTTAGCATCGACAAAATCGCGAGTTATCTCGTTGTATTTTTCGTCACTAGACTAAATTGCTTAGGCGGAACAATTTATCCACTCAAAGAAAAATATGTCAATTTTATGGTGTTAAATCTTCAGGCCATCAACAACTTGCAATCGACAGTTGCGGGGTTTGAACTTGTAACGAGTGAGAACGTGTTCAAAGTATGCGATGAGCCGCACCCGTTGATGGTAAAAGAAATGCTGGATTTCTGCACCAAATGCGAATTGAATGAAGCATACAAAATTCTAAATCATCTGTGGAAGCTGGGATACTCTTCTGAAGACCTGATAACATCTGTTTTCCGGGTCTGCAAAGGTCAACAAATGGACGAGATGCTTAAGTTAGATTTCATTAAGGAGATTGGGTTCACACATATGCGAATTTGCAGCGGAGTGAGCTCGCTTTTACAAATGACTGGAATGATATCGAAACTCTGTACGATTTCAGAGCAACATTACAATTCGTGATTCAGACATTTGAGAACTTTTTTCTTTGATTTGAGCGATTGTTTTTCTAAAATTTTGATTGTGGATTTGCTTATTGTCTTTGAATTTACATTATTTTTATGCCTCAGTTTTCTCAATGTCAGGCCAATTCGGTCAAATAGTTTTCATTCTATCTATACTTTTTGCCTTTACAAGTTTTTCTGATTGAGTTTAAAAGAACGAAGTGATTTTCATTTATATTGGTCTTGGTAGTAGTTAGAAGATAGTTGAAAGATGCCCGAGGGAAAAAGAGCCCGTCCTGAGGGCACTAAGTGCCCGAGTATGGATATTTTGCCCGAGGCCATCTTCAACTATGTTCTAACTGTGGAAGACTATGTTTTTGCTCTTTCTGAAAGAAAGATGCCAGAAAATTGTGAAAGAGCCTGGAAAATTGTGAAAGAGCCCGGAAAAGTACGCGAAACTATGCTAATGATTTCTTTTTTTATTCATGCGCTCTAATATTTCATTTTTCATTCATGCCTTGTGAAAGAACATGTGTGAAAGAGCAAAAACATACTCTTCATGTTTTTTGTTTGTTTTTGTTTTCGGAAAAAGGGCTAAAATGCTCTAATAACTACAGAAGTGCATTCATACATTTTATTGCACTTATGATTACAATTCCGTATATGTGAAATTTTGATTTCAGATCAAGTTAATCTGCTAAAAGCTAGGTAACTTGAGCTCTCCTTATTGCGAAAGTGAAAATGGCGCGAAAAAACGTGTGAAAGACTTCTAGTTTGTAAAGTGGATTTTAGTTTCTGGATTTCCAAGAAGAATAAAAAATTAACCATTGATCCAGTTTTCTTAAATTGGGCTATTTTAATCAAAAACTTAGAATCATAAATTTTCCTAAAGTTCGAAGAGCTTTAACCTGATATATTTTCGAAAAACGAAAAATTTTCAAAAGTTTTCCGTCAGTTTTTCTATTTCAAAGTTATGGCCCTCAGAAAAGTCAATATTTTAGTTTTTGAGCGTTTTACACGAACATTACTCAGCCGAATCTGATATCAAGGGTTTAATCGAGGCAACCGGTTGTGGGAAGCCTCTGCGCGAAAGCGGCTGCGCCTTAAACTTTGTTCGAATTTTGTGATGTATTTCGGAATTTTCTAAATCCTCAAAAAAATTCACTCTTATTTTATTACAGAATCATTCAAGGTTTTGGGTGAAGCCCATTTTTTGAAATTATCAAACAAATTTACCAAAATTTATCAAACAAATTCCTCCCACGTTAGTTGGGCCCCTAGTATACTTTCAGCCTTTTTTTGGCTAGGTTTCATTATTCTGCTTCAAGCTTCAACTGAAACTTCGCGGTCTGTTTTCGAATAATTGCAATGATTTTAACAAAATTTTCTGCTTAGAATGTGAATGATTCATAGCTTTACCCTCGCGAGCGTGCGAGTGTAGTGTTGTACATTCGATTCGGTACACTGTTTACAACGCAGATCGCTTTTCGTTGGCTTGAGCTTCGATTGTTTGCCAACTTGCTTGATTATATTGAAGGCGATTTTATGCAATTGGCGTATGGGCCATTCTGTTGACGGTTTCAAATAACCATTCCAAAGTGATTTGTGGCCAACTAAATGGTACGCAATCTGACAGTAAATTGCTATTTTTTCATGCATTTGTCTTTTTATTGACCCTTTTAAAGGCACTTGGCGTTTTTCAATAATAGTTTCTATCAATAATTCTGTTTCCCATTGTAGTAAAATAGTTTTCTATGCTAGAAACAGTTTTATATCCTG